CTCCTTCCTTTAAATAGCCTTAGGTCACGTTTAACTTCTCCTGATAAATCTCCGAGATTGCTTCCGTAAGTTGAGGGATTTGCAACAGCCTCCTCTTGACCAAGTCCTACGCGTCCAACCTGAGCTGCTTCTTGTTCGCTATTTGCAAAAGAGGTCTGGAGCTCCTTTCAGTGACCTGTTTTATCAATGTCTTTTCCTTAAGCAAACAGGTTCCGGCTTTTATTCGGTTCTTCCTCGAGGAATGGATTATTAACGGGCTTGTAACGTCCTATTAACAGTTTTTATCCTTCGAGCCCATTATCTTAGCTAACGGGCTATATTCAGGTCCAACACTCGCCTTTGATCTCTCTCCTTCACTAATCTGTTTCATGAGATTAGTTTTTGCCGGTTTGAATCGATTTGCACCTTGTCATTTTCCAAGAGACTTGTTCGAGGTCTCCCTTCATGATCTAGCTTTTTATTGGCGTCTTTATAGTCGCTTTTCAGCTTCTCCGCCATAGCCGGTTTGATGTATAGGTTCTAAAGCTATGGTCTCCGTGCTTATTTCTCGGCTGTTCACTATAGGAGGTTTCAGTTACCATTGCGGTAAATTTCTATCAAAGGCCGTTTGGAGTTTAAATGTTCTTGCTTGTTTTTGGGTTGATGTTTTTTTGGCTCTAAATGCTTTCTACAGTCCTTGTTCTTGGTCATTACAATGTAGCTTCGTTTTGTTTTCTTTGGTTTCCCGATCATCGGACTTTGTCTCTCCTTTGTTGGAGCTTTCTCTCTCCTTTGTTGGAGCTATCTTTCTGGAGATTTTTAAAATCTGCCAGCTTTATGTATTAAAAATGTATCTCTTAAAAATGAATGAAATTCTAGTGTTTAAGAAAAATTTAATTTTTTTTTTTACAATTGGTAGAATTTATTTTTATTATCTTAACTTTGTGAATACAATCTGAAGTCATATATGATATTAGACATATTTTAATATAAATTAGATTTTAAGAACGGATATATTTTTTGTTTTGAGAATTTAATTTTGGTATTTATGTTTTTTTGCAATCATGACCTATTGATATAGGTTTGGTCCATCAATATTTTTGTAAAAGATTAATAAGATATTTTAATAATTGTATTAAAATAGATGGACCATATATCAATAGGCCATGACTGCAAAATATGATTGCAAAGAAAAAACACAAATACCAAAACTAAATTCTCAAAAAGAAAATTAAAGCAAACAAATCTATCTGCCCTTTCAGAGTTTAGTTATTTTTTAAGCTTTATTCTTAAAGTTTACAACATATTATACTTTTTTATTAATTAACTAATCTAATTAATTAAGAACATTTGTACCCTGAAAATTCGACTCGGAATCGAATAAAAAAAATCAAAGTCTCATACTCTATTAAACATGTCCTATATACTCGTACAAATTTTAAAATATTATATCCGAAAACTATTATCAAATCCAACCTGCACCAAAATCCGAAAATGTTTTTATAAAAATATTTGAAAAATGAATTTTTAATATATTCTGTGAAATATATATATATATATATATATATATATATATATATATATATATATATATATATATATATATATATATATATATATATATATATATATATATATATATATATATATATGTTAATGGGTTAATACGATCTTCACTAACTTTAAGTAAAATCACATTTAATAAATATTTTTAATTACATAATCTATTTTAAATCTGTTAAACTAAATGATTTTATATGAATATCTATTCTATTAAAAGTCTATTTAAACCCCATCAAGATCCTAGTTTAACATTACATGCTTTGTTAATTGATATACTTAATGTATATAAAATATTTATAATTTGATTAAATTAATATCTGGTTGAATAAATTCCAATTTTTTGGGCTGGAATGTAAGTTATGTTGTTGTAGTGTGATAATTATTTTTAAAAAAGCTGGTGTTCAATTGTATTGTTGCTAAAAATATATGTTAAATATCATTAGAAAACTTAAGTTGAAATGCTTTTATATCAATGTAAACAGATTTAAATCATACACGGACAGATTTGAATAAAGTAATATAAAATTAAAATCAGCTTTAAATATTTTAATGTTAATTATATATAATATTATTATTAGCTTCGTGTAAAATCTCTCAAAAAGCAAAAAACAGTTTTAATATATTTAGTGTTAATTTTAAATATATATATATATATATAGTTATTAGATTGTCCATTAAGCTAATAAATAGGAAGCTGCATCGTTTTTGACCGGAGTTACTTTTTTTTTTTAACTTAAAACCATAATTATTATATGCAGTTACATAAAATAAGGAGTTATATTTCATTTTTGAAAGAGTCAAACATAGAAATAATTAGTTAGACTCAACTATGTATTATCAGTTGAACATGTTCTTAATTTAGTAGTATTGATTGTACATATTTATTTTCGGCATGTTAAGGAGAAAATAAAGTCGAAGCTATGAGAAAGGAAGGAAAACAGGTCTAGTAGTTAAAGAGATTTCTTTTTCCCTCGAAATATAATTGTACTTGTGTACTTTCCTTCACAATAGCCTAGAAATCCAAGAATTTTGATTATCTATAACATTATTTGAGAAGTAAATTTGCTTAGTTGTCAAGATCTCCATGATTTTAGGTTATTATACTTATTTTTATGTTTAAATAATTTATTATATAATAAAAATGAATTTATGTTAATAATATTATATTTTTAGAAAATATGTTAATTCTTTTGCTTAGTTGTCAACTTCTCCATGATTTTAGGTTATTTTGCTTATTTTCATGTTTTAATAATTTATTATAAAAAAAAGAATTTATGTTAATAATATTTTATTTTTAGAAAATATATTAATTCTTTTATATTAGATTGTTATCTTAAAAATATATTTTCAACTATTAAATATAAGTGAATTTGCTGATTAATTTGTAACTTTCTGTTTAGGTAATCTATATTATTATTTGTGAATGATTTTTTGCAACAGAGCTCTCACGTTGAAAGTTAGAGCGGTTAATATCGTTTATATCCTTAATGAATAATTAAAAAATTTAATATAATTAAACATAAATAAAAAACGAATTTCAATGATTTTAGATTTATCTTTATCTAAAACTATTATATATTGGGTTATAAAGTCATTATTAACCTTGAAAAATAATTATATTAGTTTATATATAATTAATTATAAATTAAAAACGAATTTCATTTATTTGATAATTCCTTATTTTAATTTTTTTATATTATGTGATAAAGTCTTTATCAACCTTGAAAAATAATTATATTTGTTAACATATAATTAATTCTAAATTAAAAAATGAATCTCATGAATTTGATAATTATCTTTATCTAACTTTTTATATTGTGTTATAAAGTCTTTATTAACGTTGAAAAATAAATCTATTTTTTAATATATAGTTAATTATGAAAAATCAGTTCGCAAAGACTTTATGTATAGATAATTTATATTGTGTTATCCAAAACATTATTAAAGATAAATTTTTATACTTTTTTGTTATGTCTAAAAATGATATTAATTTATTACTAAATGTTTTAAGTTTATGAGTATTTTCAAATATAAGTTGTGTAATGAAAATTATTTATATGATGATGAAAAATTTTATATATAGAAAGAATTTCTTTAGTTTATTATTAAATATTTTGAGTCTGTGAACAATAATTTATTATAATTTACATAAATTGATTATATATTTATTTATAGATATTAGAAAAATTATTAAGCCCACAAGTGCGGGCAAAACACCTAGTTGTCTAATAATTTACTAGATGTTTTGCTCGCACATGCGAGCATAATTTTCTTATGAATATTTATTAGTTTATATTTTATTAATTTAAAACAATACAATAAGTGATGATTTATATTTTTAAAATTATTTATAAATGACAACTTTTACATATCAGAATATTTTAAAATATATTTATACAAATGTTTTGTTTGATTTATATTAATTATAATTTTTATATCTTATTTTTTCTATAATAGAAAAATATTTTTCTAAGATAATATTATTAATGGAATTTTTTTTTTATTCTATAATAAATTTTATATGAAAATTATTAAAAAAATATGACAAATAAGCAAAATCATCTAAATCATGGAGAAATTACAAATCAGTAAATTCACTTAAATTTTATAATAGAAAATATATTTGAAAGATAACAATCTAATATGTGCTAAGAAAAAACATAACAATCTAATACATAATAATTATTTTATTTTTTAAAATATAATATTATAATTCATTTTTATTATAATATAAATATAATATTATATATGAATTATTGGAAGATAATGAATAAGCAAAGTTTCTGAAAATTATGCAAAAGTTAACAAATCAGCATTGCTTAATTTATATTTAGTTATAATTTTGTAATTTTATTTTTTAGTTTCTATAATAGAAAAATAAATTTTCAAGATAACAATATAATACATAAGAATTATCTTATTTTCTAAAAATATAAAATTATTAATATAAATTCGTTTTTATTAGAGAAGAAATTATATATAAATTATTAAAATATGACAAATAAACAAAATTACCTAAAATTATGGAGAAATTGACAACTAAGCAAATTTATTTCTCAAATAATAGTATAAAATAAATTTTCAAGATAACAATATAATACGTAAGAATTATCTTATTTTCTAAAAATATAACATTATTAATATAAATTCATTTTTATTATATAAGAAACTATATATAAATTATTAAAACTTGACAAGTATGTAAAATATTTAAAATTATGGAGAAATTGACAACTAAGCAAATTTATTTTTCAAATAATAGTATAGATTGTATTTTCTCTATCGTCATTAGTATAACTAACTAGAAAGATAATTACTAAAAGATTCGATAACCTAATGCCCTTATCTCTAATTTTTTTCTTTGTGGTTTAGGTAATGTTCTCTAAAGTTAATGCGGTTTAGGAAATATAAAGTCATAATATGGTGGAGAAGTTAGGCCAAAAATCATTCATCATCATCTTGCCTTTCTCAAATAATATTATCATATTCTTCAGATTTTCTTTTACCAAAAGAAAATTTCTTCAGTTTTTTTTCTGTCGTCTGATCTCTCTCAGTCCCTGGAGATATGTCAGAGGAAGAGACTGCTTCGGAGATTGTTAGTAGTGCCTTTGTGAAGCAGTACTATTATACTCTTAACGAATCACCTCAGACTCTTCATATGTTCTATAAGGATTCCTGTCTGTTTAACCGTCTTTGTCCCCTAACCCATGTCAAGAAAACTGTTCGGACTAAGGAAGAGGTGAAAGATGAGTTTCTGGCAGAGAGATTCGAAGATTTCATGGCTGAGATTGAAACTTCAATTGGTGTGCCATATTCAATGGAACATGGTCATGTTATTGTGTTTGTCAATGGATACCTGACTAGGAAGAAAGATAACGTGAGGAAAAAGTTTACGCAAACGTTTCTTCTGGCTCAACAAGACAACGGTTTCTGTGTCGTTAACGATATTTTCAGGTATAAGAAAGAGAATACACAGACACAGACGTGTTTTGTAACTGAGAATGAGTCAAGGTCAAGAAGATCAGCGACTTGTTAAAACGAGAAATTATGGAATTATTCTGTATGTTATTTATTCTGTCGTCAAGAGTTAACTATTGCCGTATTTCCTTATGTTGACTTATTTTGGACAAAATTATAAGTCTCATTATCTCTTTTTCATACAAGTATACATATTTTCATGTTCTATTGTCTATCTCTTATTATTTCTGTATATTTCTAGTATTCCATAATTTTCGATTTCTATTCTTCAAATCTCCTTTTTCATTCTCTTTGATGCATTCTGAGAATGGAGAATTCAAAACCAATCATTCCAGTTACTCTTTATATAGATAACTATTTACTTTGGTCAAAGATCATTAAGACTGCACCACATTACTGATATCCATTAAATCTCTACTAGAAACCTTGACAAACGTTCGCTTTGAAGACTTAGTTATCCAAAATCAAAAGCCTTGAAGTGTTTCAAAAATATCAGATGATGTTTTCTATTCTCCAAAATACTCTTGAGCATTCAATCCTTACTGTTTACTCATATTCTAAAACAACAAAGAAGTTATGGAACACTTCAAAATGGATCTACAGATATACATCAAATCTCAGTCGCATCTTTGAACTGAAGAATGTGCTGAATGTCCTTCAGCAAAGGCATTATTTTCTAAAGTTTTTTATGTATTCAGTGGGCTGAATTAGAGACTTTTCGCCCTACAAAAAAAAACAATGGTTCTCAATGAAATGTGTGAACAAGCCACGTTTTGGATATTCTTTCTACTCTCAGTAATTCATTTAATGGCTTGATGCGTCACATCTTGCTATCTAACAAACTTCAAGCTTAAATGAATTATACAAAGGTTCAGAAGGATCTACTAGTTTGTTTGGCCAGAAAAGTGTGTTAGCTTTCGCCAACTGAACATTCTGACAAATTGTGTGTGAGCATTGCAAGAAGAATTTTCATTCTGAAGAAAAATGATGGATTCTTAATCCAAGTCTAAAGCCGTAAAAGAGGCCGGCAAGATGTTTCGCTGTCTGCTTCTGATGCTGAGGATGATCTGGTCAGAATATCTGATCTTGAATGTCTCATGAAAAGCATTGCCTTTCTCATAGAATCTGGTAAATCCTTGCTTGCTCTTAAAAACTCACAAACTTACTATTGTTGGTTTATCTCATCACATGATTGTGATGCAAGTATAATTGATAACATTCAAACTGTATCTGGAAATGCTATTATTGCTATTGGTCATAATGTGCCATCAAAGGAATTGGACACTTGAAATTATTTAACAAATATTTTAAACCATTTTATATGCCTGAAATTACTCCAAATATGTTGTTTGTTTAAAAAGAAACTAAAGATATTGATTATGTGGCTATTTTCAGTGCTAATGTTCTTTGTTATCAGGATATTAAGTCAAGAAATACTTTTGTAAAGGTTCAACAAAGAAAGGCCTTTATATTCTTGAAGATCTAAAACTATGTTTCTGTGAATTCTGTTACTGATTTTGCAAACAGTTCAGTATGGTATGCTAAACTTGGACATCCAATACTCAGGTTCCAAGGTTTTTCTAAATAATATATCTTTTTTTAAGGATGATAAGTGTGAGGCTTGTATCCTAAGAAATTATTGAAAACTTGAGTGTGTCATTCGTTACGAAAATGATTTATAATCATTGCGTCTTATTGAAAACTCATTGGCATTAAAGATTAGTCGTTTAATTCAACATTTTCTCATCTTATCTATCTTATTAATCTATCTTATCCCCTTATTATTAAAAGGGAAGCAAAATAAAATAGTAACCTTTGAAATGTAATATATTTACATGTATGCCATTTGCTGATGTGTCTGTTTGAGAATTCACCTCAGCCCCTATTTATATCAACCCTTTCTTATCTAGATTATTTACAACACATTGCCATTGGTAACACTATTAAATAAATACATTAATATTTGAAACCTATGATTTTCTATTCTTCGTGGACTCCTACAAAAGAACATTGACAACACGTTTTTTACTCACCTATTAAGGAATATAGAACTAATTACAAAAAATACTGCAGTCGGGACTTAAACCTAAAATCATTTTGCTAACAAAGAACAATTGTATTTGCACTTGATAGGGTTCTTCTGTTTTCATTATCGTGATAACACTAAACCATAATGCTCATTTTTTTTAATGACAAGGGTAGTCCATATTTGTTTACATTGCAATGCATCACGATTAATTTGTTTAACCGGAGAATTTGTATCTAATAGAAGAAATGTGATCTAATGGACTTGCAATTCAAATAAACATTGTTAACCGAGCTTTTGTTTTTTTTTTGGTAATTACCTTCAACCACTGAGATAATCGAGCTTTTGTTAACACTATATGAGACGAGTTTTTATTTTATAGCATTATAATTCTCAAGATAACTTAACTAAAGGTAACTTATACTCACAATATCTCTAACATAAAAAGGTGATATATATTGCATTTTCAAATATACATAATTGTTTATGGTTAATTATCTATATTGTAAAATGGCATATTTTCTTAAACTTACTGATTACATCGTTAACAATGGCCAATTGTATTTCCACTTTATTTAAGTTTTTTGAAACTTATTATAAGAATTTTCAACCAAAGAAAGGTGATCTATATGGCATATTTCAGATAATTATATTGTTTATGGTTTGTGGTTTATAATCTATATTACGAAATGGTTTACAGTTTAATCGTGGGACCACAACCACGTGTTAACTATTTTGATCATATCAGTGTTAAATGTAAGAAATAAAGTGAATAACTGATTTTGTATTTTATATATACACAAAACAATGTTTACGTGTTCTGCAATCCAATATTTGCTGGACTCATAACTATGCAATATAATCTTTATGTATTTCAAATGGAATAATTAACCGGCATACCTTGGAGTGCTATGCAAAGATATTAAGTGGGAGTTATATCATATTTTTTCTTAATGACAAAGAGTTTCCAAATTTAAGAGATTTTTGTCAATCACGCATTCATTTATATGTTTACTGTCAATCATGGTTCATTGTTATGACATTAATTACTATATCACCGGAATTATTATAGGAAAGTTTTGAAAGTTAACTTACTATATCACAGGAATTAGTATAGGAAATTATTCAAATTTAACTTATATAACTTATATTAACGAATATTTTCTTCGATATTGAAACATTTATGGTCTTATATACACCTTCCTTTGTGTTTCCTTTGGAATCAATGCCCTAAATACCTTGCTGATACTAATACACAAGTCAATGCAACCTAGGATACGCTATTACTCTTTCTTCGGTCTACGATTAACTCAAGCAAACTCTTAAAATGTCGAATTTTGATGCATGTTTTTCATTGTCAATTTATCAGTTTGTATATAAAATTATTAAGTTGCAAACTATATGTAATAAAATGTTTTTATATTAATTTGATTATGTAATATAATTCTCATCCCGCACAAGGTGCGGGTCTTAACCTAGTTAAAGTTGAAATACTTTTTGGTATGTTTGGAAAACATGGATAACAATTTTAGAAAACAATATTGTTTGGAAACAAAGATAGTAGTGTTTTTTCACTAATGTCTTCTTAGTAATTTCATTAACACAAGGCCCAAAACATTTCAATTGGATAGAAAAACATGTGTAAAAAATCCATAAAGGTGTGTTATTAAACTGATTCATCTATCTTATTAAAGTTGAAGTATCTTTTGGTATGTTTGGAAACATAGATAGCAATTTTAGAAAACAATATTGTTTGGAAACAAAAATAGTAGTGTTTTTTCACTTATGTGTTTTTAGTAATTTCATTAACACAAGGCCCAAAACATTTCAATTGGATAGACAAGTTTTTTCACTAATGATTATGCGGATTCGATTGGGGTTTGATGGATGAGATCCCGTCGGTGACGGTGGAAGCTCTCTGGTGAAAATGATGTTGTGGGATGCCAAGCTTTTTCTGGGGTGGTTGTGTTTAAAGACTGCGGATGAGATCTCGTCATGGCGATTGAATCTCTCCGATATTGGAGCCCCATGGGTTTCAAGTTGTTCGCGGTGAAGATAGATGGAGCTATGGAGTTCCGGTGTGGTCCGGTGATCCGAGGGTTGAATCTCCGGTATTGGCGAGAAGCGGTGGTGATGCAATGGTCCTTGCGACACGTGCCCCTCATTGTCAAGGATGGCAACACGTGTCCCTGCAACTCAAAGATTTGACCAGCGAGACGGCTGGAGTCGGTTCCGCTTTTAGTCTAGGGTTTTGCTCAAGTTGGGCTTTAGGCCCATTTTAGTGACGATTTGATGTTTGATTTGTGTGGGCTTGTAATTTGTATTGGACTTCGGCCGTTATCTTTATTTTGAAATATTGACGGAAAAAGACATTTTTTTGTAAAAAGTCCATGTGTGATTAAACTGATACATTTAAAAAAACAATAATCATTAATGTAAATATGTAATTAACATATATATATTTACATGTATTTATATTTATGAGGTTGTTATAATAAATATATTTTACATTAACTATTTTAAAGATGCTTCCTATTAATTTATATATGTTATATACAAACATAATATTTGTGGTAATTAAACAACCATAATTTGTTAGTTATAGAATTTTTCTTATTTCAACAGAAAGATGAAAAAATATAATATTTATATTGTTATATATATAAACATAATTATATATGTTATATATTACAATTTACGATAACACCTATGCGGATATTAGATATGGCCATCCAAGTATCCATCAACTACAATTTGGTTTTTCTGGATGTTGGGGTTTAAAATAGTTTTACATCCGTATATTATGAATTTATGCACGGTGTCGAGTAGGATCATTCAAGGTCCGGATATGTTTTTTGGAACCTAAGAATATCTAAAAATTGTCAGTTTACTAAAGTCATTAAATATATTAAAAAAGGTAAAAATCAAAACCCGCACTTTCTAAGCATGGGTCAAAATCTAGTTGGATTTAAAACCAAAGAGATTCAAAAAAGCAAATATGAGTCGCTCGTACTCAAAGTTGAGGAAAGCGACGAGCCTCACTAGTTGCAAGGAGAGAGGCAATTAGCGAGGTGAGAGAGAAACGAGCAAGGAGAGAGAGCAACAAACAAGGATATGATATTAAGTGAGGATAGAATTCAACAAGCGGGGAGAGAGATCATGAAGTGATGAGGATCAGAGAGGTTACTGAGCGAGGAGAGAGGTCGGTGAGCAAGGAAAGA